ATATAAAATCCGTTCGTATCAGTATTCATAATACCGCATTATCGCTCAAATTTAATAGTATGTCGATATTAAAATTGCCAATCAATGCGTTAATAGCTATCTATTGTATAGAAAAACATGGAAAATACAGTAAAATTAGTCTATTAATATTTTAATTTTTATATAATCTATTAATATTTTTCAAATTCCAGCATTAAATTGGTAAATCAAAAACTATCCGAGAACGTTCAATAACAAATATTTCTCTAATATTTAGCAATGGTATTTTAAAAACCAACCAGTTGTGTTGTGTATTATATATTCTATTCTATTCCACTACCGATCGCATCGACATTTTTTGATTTTTTTCTTCTTTCCCGATAATAAACTATCATAAATATCTCTAATTGCATCTTAATACGGAAAATGCAAGACGAAGAAATGAATATATTTATTGCTAAAGAGCGACATTGCGATCAAAGATAAAGAAGAAAACGTCAATCGAAATGAAAGAGGAAGAGAGAGAGTGGGCTAGTTCTTGGTGAGCGCAAATCAGGAAGAAGAACAGAAACGAAGAAACGACCGCTCGTAATGAGAGCTCGAGTAACCTAGAGAACGAGAGAAAAGAAGATAAATAGATGAGCGGAGGCCGCTGAGGGGCCTGAAGAAATGGAGCTAAGAAACAGCCTCTTGAGGATTAGAGCGAATTCACCGCGGACAAAGACCGCGCAATTCTCGTCTCTGCATTATGCCCGTTTCACACGGGCTTCTACTCGGTAAATTCTATCATCAAATCTCATAAACAAATAATTAAAAAGATCCTGTTTTGTTATGAAGATTATATTCAAAAATATAAACATTATTAGCTACGTTAAACTATTGATTTTTTACCGTACGTCTGACATAGTAATTATTTTTATTATTTATATATATATATATATACAATAAAAAAAGATTAAAAAATATATTTTAATTTTATAGGCATAGTTATTATGAAAGTATTTTCTGTGTTTTAAGACATGAAAATTTCTATTTGCAATTTATCAGTGTGATACAGGCTTTAGAGCCTGATGGGAGGTTACCGGCCTCTTTCATAGGAATCACCAGGATCCTTTTCTCCCTCCTGAGTCAGCCTTTCTTCCCTTTTCACCTTCCCGCATCTCGCGCGCGACTCCCTCTCCCTCCCTTCCTTCCTTCTCACCCCTTAAATTGCTCGACGGCGGTTCAGGCGGTGCTGGCAACATGTCTTTTGTCCGCGGACCGGTTTCTGCCGGTTCCTCGAACCATTTATTTCCCTCGTCCCTCGGCTACATATGACTATATACTCCCTCTCGTCCCGCTTCTCGCCCCTCGCCCGCAATCCGTTCTCTCAATACGTTCCACCATTCCCTTCGCGCCGTCTTCTTTTTCTCCGGTCTTCCATCTCGCCTACTATTTCGCCTTACCACCCTCGATCGTGTTACACCCTTTTTTCGGTCGGCGCGTCGTGCGCGGTCGAGCGGCCGACTGGCCGGCTCGCGCACTCGAAATAACGCCTCGATTCCTGGCAGCCTCCCGAGTCCATGAATGAACGCGGCCGAATCGCTCGGAGGCGTGGAGGAGACGAGGAGTCGCCGAGTCCGTCCGGCTCGTCTGACCTTCGCGCGAGTCGATTCGGCGCGCATCTATCGACAACGACGATGGGAAGACGACGGACGGACGCGAGGACGACGGCGGCGACGGCGGCGACGACGACAACGACCCCATTTGACCTCGCTTCATCGACCACGCCGATAGACCTGGACACTGGGTCGACAGAGCTATGCGGTAACTCACGACTATTCAGATCCTTCCGCCTTGGCGTCGGTGCACGGAAACATGGAAGGGGAGTTATAGTCATCGCAATCGGATCATCGGGGCGGTTTATCGGTCGTGTCGATTTCGTACGTAACGAGTGTAGTCCACAGCGCGACACTCGATCAACTTTGCGCGCATTTTTTCGTCCGGCGAATCGATGTTTCCTCTCAAGATGTCTAACGCAAACGCAGATTCTCTGTAATGTGGCGTGTAAAAGACGTGTGATCTATTCAGACGTAGACTAAAAATATTTCTAAGATTTCTCGATGGATTTGAAAATTATATCTCCGACAATCATCGTTAGTGATAACGTTTTTTAACATTTAAATGTTTTTCCATCGTTAAGTCGTAGTATTGAAATGAAGATTAAAGATTTACTATATAATGGCGCCGCAGAATGTTATTGACATCCTAACATTTTAATGAAAAAAAAAAAAAAAAGTCGGTTTCATATTAATTAAAGAAATAAAGAATTATTATCACAGATCTATCCTTCAATTTAGAGGCGATCTAAATATATGGCGGAATCAAAACCGCGACAACTTCAAATATAACACGTATCTCACTCTATACATACGGTATTACTTGCCTAGCAACAATCAGTTTTTACGCACTTCCCGCGCCCTAACTCGCGATGCTTACGAGCATTTGCCGATGTACGACACGACGCGAGTGCAATATCACGGCGCTTTTATCGCGCTTTTATTATGATACCCGAGACGCCGGGGATCGCGTTGTTAAATCAGAATCCTTTCGTTCGTCTTGTTTCTCGCGCGCGCGCGCGCGCGCGAGGGCGAGATTGCTCGGAACAATCGATCGACGAAACGACTCCCCTCGACAACGCGGCAAGAATGGCACGTCGAGTAAT